AAATTTATGCGGAGCAAATATCAAGTCAAGTTCATGTAGGCCTAATATACTACATGTACCTGTATATCCCAATAGGTTCATTTTCGAGAAAAAAGTGCCTTACATGGCTTTGGAGGTAAATTCAAAAAGATTCACAGATCTGCTGGAAAAACAATATGATGCAAATTATTCCTCGCAATTTTTGAGAAAATGCAGTTCTTCATATGCATTTAAACATTGTAGTTGCAGATTAATATATACATGTATTTTTGAAGCAACGGATACGGGTAACACCCCAAAACTTGTTTTGAAATGTTTTCAGGAAATCTACTGTAACTTAAGGTAAAATTTAGGCAGGCGACAAAAAGCGGCTGAATAAAGTGAATGGGGACGAGGTCAGCTTCCCAGACCCTCTAACCCCAATCGCCTATAAGGATTGTTATTGGGCTGGATGGCAACCTCGACAGATGATCATGTGACCACCTCAAGTAACACTCAGAAAATTATTTCATACAGGAGTATCAAGGAAATGTTTTGTGAACATTGGAAAAAGAATCAGCAACCTTTTACTTCCAGTATTTTTTGTTTCTATGGGTATCCATGCATATTTGTTTTGAATCACCCACTTGCAACATGAGAACAAAAATGGGTAAACTACTAAACTTGCTGTAGAACTTCCCTATAAAAACAGCCGGCCCGGCATGTCCAAGTTCATGTCAGCGCAGGTAACATTAAACGTAAAGGGTACATGTAAATTCAAGATAATTTCATCATGTGTATTTCTGTAAAAGTGTGAAACAATTCAATGTATATCATGATTCTGTTATCAAGTTCGTGATACTTGTACTAGTTTCAAAATTTCCATTCCGCACACTGGCCCGTAAGCATTTTACGTTTGTGATAGTGATTTTTCATGCGTTGTTTCCATCTTTTTCAGGTTTTGCATTTTTGCACGTTCCATAAATTGATATAACCCTCCCCCGTTCCTCAACGTTGAAACGAGGGCCCTCACTCGTTAAAGGAACTACATGTACATGTATCAGCACCTGTATACACGTGCATTCATCCAGTCAAGAGAAGCTCATGAATGAAAACTTGATGTACTGTGTAGTGTTCCAGTGATTGAAGAAAATGTGCACGTACGTTGAGATCCCTTTTGGTTTGAGGACGCTGGTTAGAACTGAACTTGTAGTTCTCAACAGGTGTTAAATACTGGTACATGTACGGTATGCATAACATAACATGTGCATGTACATGCTGTATACAGGCCAAATTACTGGTAATTGATCCATCATGCTCCCTTTACATTAAGGTGATCGAGCACAACATGTGGTTTAGTGGCTTAAGATAATCGGACCAGAAAAGGGCAAAGAAATTTTCATGAGAAATTTACAATGTACATACTCTGCATGTATGCCTGGATTTTATCATGGTCAAGATTCAGGAAATTGAAAAATCATGTTGTGCAAATGGCTGGAGATAAATGCGGCTGTTTTGCAGATAATAAGCTTAGCCACAGTATACAGTACATGTAATCACATTAAATGGAAAGGTCAGGATTTTCATGGCTTTGTTAAAACTGGAGGGAATCTGGCAGGGGTCAGCCTGTAAGCGTCTCGTGAATGACTTGTTTCCTTTCAATAAATTATGTACACTTAGTGGGAAATCATAATTACATGTGTCATGCATCCTTATGACATCCAGGGACGAATTAATAAAAACTGGCAAGCAGAAACTGATGCTCTGTTTGAAAACAGACAGAACAAGCAAAAGTATTAGCTTGAGAAAAGCAGGATATTATGCACAGGAAACCAGGCACTGCACTATTGACTAATTCCTGGTCTTGGTTGCCCTGTCAGTTTGTCAAATTGCGCTCCCTGTACCCAATTTTGTACTCGTATTTTAACAGTTACCAACCAATATGCTGTTCAATGTTCTTGGGTTTGTTTCAGGTTTATGGCTGATTAATGCTCAGCACATGCATTTCCTAAGCAGGTTTTCCCAGCTTTGTACATTTTGTAGCTTTCAGAAATGGGGCCTGATTATCTGATGAATTTTGTTTCCTGAAGTACATGTAGATGTACATGTATATTATACATGAAAACTGTGGCTCAGTAAAAATAGCCAACAACCCGAACAATCCCCAACAAGCTAAACTCTAACACCAGGTTTTGTTGGCATCTGTCAGGATGAGTACTACACTAGTAAACTGACTGTGTGTTTCATGGGATTAATTCAAAGGAGTCTGTTTATATGCACAGTTTACTACAAATATGTGGTTGTTGGGAACTGCAAGGACGAGGAAGGTTCCTGCAGTAGTTAATCACACCATAGGGTTATTTTATTTGAAATGGGCCAGAAACAATATTCAGCAGATCAGTTTTGCTTTAATTAATAATTTAAAAAATCCCCAAATAAGAATTTGCTTGTGCTTAGCAATCACGTTTGTGCATTCAACTCAACAGAATTTAGCTTGTATGTACCGGTAGCATTGCTGATCCTGTTATAAAATCATCCGAGAAACTACATGTATTGTCTGATCCAGATTCAATTTGTCAAGGATTATGCTGTCTGTAACATCGACTGCCCTGACTGTTTAATTCTTCCTCGCCTCATTCAGGTTGTATACATGGAATGTACATGGTTCCTGTTTTCAAGCACTGTGCTCTAGCACTCTACAGAGGCATTGTATTTTTGCAAACATGTTCTTCAGGTGCACTGCTTCCCACCTCTAATGCCTAGCTCTATGAATAATTCACATGTGCACTCACTACGCACGGTACCCCCCTTTCCAAGAGATGAGCGGGGCCGACGGCTCATGCATTTCACCCGCGGTTTTGCATGACACACCGCCTCATGAATCATTCTCATCATCTTCCTCCACGTGGCTAATTCTTGCGCTGTGCGCTGCTCCCCGAGTGTGCCACAACTGTGAGGCTGTGTGTGCTCAATCAATTCATGAATTCTGTCTCTCCTTCCCCCCCCCCGCATCATTATTTTGGTCTCCGTCTCCAGTTCGGAATGTACATGTATATGAATGGTTTCAACATCAAACTCACCTGCTTGCATACACGCAAAGCTGCAGGTCTTTGCATTTTTGGATAATTTGGAGTCCAAAACATACATGTACACTGCAATGTTTGTGTCGCATTTTGAACATTTTTTGTCTCTGAAGACAGTTTGCATAGGTTTGAGCAAACTGCAACAATGGGGTACAAATATCGCACCAAATGCATCTCTGCAATTTTACAGTAAACAAAAAGATAAATTTTTAATACTTCATGATACTTACATGCATATGAGTGTACCAAGGTGAAAAGCTCAATTGGGCATTCTTGTTTTGCTGCTGTTAAGTACACAGCATCTGGATGTGCACAGAAGGCCTTTTTTTATGGCATGTATGGAATTCTCCCAAGGGTCTGTCAGCTTAATACAAATACATGTATCAAGCTTGAAATAATAGAGTTTTTAATTGAACTAGACATACATGTAAGTATTACTGTGTGCTGACAGACCCTTGAAGGTGTTGCAAGCATGCAAGAAAGACCCAGACCTTCATGTATTTTGTCAGCTTGTGAGCCGTGTCCTATGCAGTGTGTTACGAGGACACCATGCCAGTGCAAATGCAAACTTGTGATGTGAAGTCAAAAAAATTGTGGTGCAAATTCACAAAATTGAACACAATTCAACTCGGGTGAACTTCGCTGTTAGTTTTTGATTGATTTCTAATTTGCTCTGTCTTCACATTCTGATTTAAGTACGGTATACCATTAGCAAGTTTGGCTTTTTGAACAGGATATCCAGCTGGCATCACACTTATAGCGTACGTGCCATACTGTCAGGCGTTTGGTGTGAAGCCTGGTCAAAAATTCATGCAGCAGTTAATGCACCGTATTTGTCGTCAGTTTACATGTACATGTATGCTTTAGGAGTTGTTTCTGTAGTGGATTTTACATGTATGTCACAAAACACTTTCTGCTGTCTGAAGTACATGTGTACAATGTATGTGCATGTACAAGAGCATGCTCTTTTTTCATGTACGGTATGTACATGTACTTATATACTGGTCAGGCTGGTACATGTATTTTACACATACATGTACATGAACAAAAACAACTTGAACAATTTGAAAATAGGGTAATTGAAGGATTGTAGTAATAAAAAGTGCATTCCATAGCAAAGACCCTATGAAGCACTGTAATAGAACAGACTGGCAGTGTTTAGATGAGGTGTTACTCTCTGACACATCACAAAAAGACATTGGACCGTGATGTGATTTCTAGAACAGCCCAACACTGCTTTTGATCAATATCAAACAACCCAACCATTGGCCCACTGAACAAAGCCCAGTTTGTCAAGTCAACATGTTACATATTAAACAGGACGATTGGGGCAGGCTTGGCCCCCCCCCACAACTTGGACTGCTTGCCTTGCAGTTCACAGACAATAATGTTGACTTGATCATCAGCTGAACCAAAGTGAAGGTTTCCCACCCAACTTACTGTACCATGGTTAGGAAATATCCGGAGTGCTCCTTCGCAAGTACCCACTCCTCCAATGAGATTAAGAGGTGCCAAGAAATTGGTCTTTCGCCAAGGATTCATTACCATAGCAACATAGTGACCTCCGATCACTCCGTGAACTACATTTAGGTGCTCCCAATTGGTGGTAATTACCAAGAATAATGTATTTTCTTGTGAATGCAATGAAATGAATTAATCAGAGCACATGTATCTGCTCTGAGCAGAAACAAGTGATAGCAACAATGGCCCTATGTATTTGGTGAGAGACGCACTGAGCTCATGCGACAGATTTTTTTGGAATGTACACATACATGTACATTGAACATGTACATACATGTACGTGTACATTGTATGCTCTGTGCAACACTGTGCAACAAATGTATGATTTCCTGACATACATGTAGGGTACATGTAGTAGGTTAAAAGTCAGGAAAAAGGTTTTCTGAATGCAGAATTTTTTTTGTTTTACAGCAAGATTTTTGTTCCATATTTCCCCAGGACCCGACCATCCATGGCTGCTGAGGGCCTATGCGCAGCATGCTGTGCACCCCTTTGCCACTGTCATCGGACAGGATGTCTTCCAGGCTGAGCTGATCCCCTCTGACACTGACTTCAGGATCTTCCGGGACTTTGGTAACATCCCAGGTATGATCAGGTGGTTGATGTCAGCGCCTGTCTATTCCTGAACCTCTTTTGTGTAAATTGCAAATATCTCCTTGCTGGTTATGAGTACATGTACTGTACATGTACATATCAAGTTTTATAAATTAACAAGTAAAGAGTTACTATTTGTTGTACCATTGGTTTGAATACCTTAATGCCGATTGCACAAGTTTCTTTGTCCTCATGTTTGAGCTTTAAGTTTAGAAAGTCTTAGTTTTAATACATGTTAGCGGTATATGACAGCAATTTTAACTGCTTCATGCTGGATGACGTGTACACTTCTGTGGATTTCCTGTGCCATGACATGGAGAATGTTTAAGCACATTCCAGCAAATTCTATGCATACATGTACCGTATATTGAACATGTAGTGCCATATGGCATCTGTGTTGTCCCCACATTTGAGTGATTTCTGCTGAGTAAATGTATACATGTACATGTATGTAGGCTCAAACTAATCTGTGGAGGTTGAACATTTCCGAAATCATCAAGTGCCATGGCTGGACATTGTACCAAAAAGTGTGCGAAATAGAAATGCTGCACAAATTGTTTTGAACACGTGACGGCAGTGGGTCAGCATTTGTAAAGTCCACCTTAGTGAAGGACTGTGGTTATGGTGACTCTTGTCATTTTAACATGTTGACTGCCACGCATGATTTCAAAGGGGCATTGCCATTTGTCAAGCATAATACGGGCATATTTAATAGGCATCTTTCACATGTCTATTTGAACAATCATGTTACAGTCAGTGTACATGTACCTGGTATGTCCTCCACACTTCGAGCAGCCTACGTGTATTGGTTGTGTTCTTCAGTGATGCCAGCTAGTGTGTTCAATTGACATTACAATAGCCTTTCATTTCCGATGAGTACACTCGTACACTCGTAGTGGCCGAATCCGGTACACCTGTGACTTCAAGTATACTAATGTACACGTGCATGTACAGGTAGTCGGCAGTCAGTGTGTTGAAAGTTGGTGTTTTGGGCCAAAAATACACGTAATACCATGCCCAAGTTGTTACTCTGTCAGGGATATTTTGGACATGTGAAAATTATTGAGAAAATATTTCCAAATTTTTTCATGTTTTTAATTCTTGGGGAAAAATTACTCTTAGGTCAATTACATACATGTGCACAAGGAGTTGTACCGGTATAATGGCTGAAGGCACATGAAATAAGGTGTTCATTTGCCAAAGACCCTAATTTTCATAATTAAGTTTCCCTCAAGCACAGTACGAGTATTAATTAAAGTATCCTGGTACATGTAATATGTAGCACATACATGCACATGTATGCACGTAATGAGCATGTCCTTTACACGCAAAATAGTATTGATAAAGCCTTTAGGAAAAGCATCAAAATCTTCTGTACAAATGTATGTCACTATATACTGGTACATATGTACTTACTAGAATTGTTTTCTTTAGAACAAAATGTATTTGAGTAGAAGTGTTATAGTCATGGTCCGGTACACTTTCGTGCATCAGTGTGAAATGTGTTTTATAATCTAGTAAGTGTTTCAGTGCGATGCAGTGGGTTTAAATGTATATGTAAAAAAAAAGGGACTTTGATTGTTCCTTGTCCAGGTCCTATAAGTCAGTGACTGATATCAGTATCTTCAAAGTATTAGTTACTAATACACATGTACTTATAATCACTTGAACTTTGGTTGTCCAGGGCAGGAAAATGATAAGGAATGCATTGACAAAAGTAATGCATTGTTCTAGAAGTACCGGCACCGTACATGTATGTGTACTGTACATGTACATGTATACCTATGTATGTTCCCATGCATGTTTGTTCATGTAGTGCGATCATGTATTGCAGCGTGCATTATCGGATCAGTATCACAGTATTACCCACTTCACATAAGTATCACTTTATGCTTGTACAGTGTACAACACATGTACACGATGTTGTAGTCACACCACAGAGTTTAGGGGAAAAAAGTCCCAAGTTGAAGAATACTACTCCTTAAGTAGTAGTTCAGTTAATAGGGATCACTGATACTTATACCAGTAGTTAGTGAAATTGGTTTTCCCCCTTTAAATTCCACAGAAGACAACATGTCTTTGTACTGGTAGTTTACATGTAGTTTGTTCCATTTGGTCAGTATACCGCTAATATCCCCTTATGGGTCTGTGCACATTTCTCCCATAGTTGGTAAAACTACCAGTGCAAAAAATATTTTTGAGCAGGAGCATTTCTGTACCCCTTCAAAGAATTTACACTGTCCATTAATTCCATTGTAAACCCTTAGATATTAGAATGTGATTCAGGCATGCAACCTTTCCTCGGATCAGCTGATTCTCCTTATTTTTCACTTCACACTCATGCCAAATGTTGAAAATTGATAAGCTGTATACATGTACAAATCTTGTAAAGATTGGAATTTCCTCATTTTTGTCAAAGTCCAAGTGGTGCACCGTGTGATTGATGTTGGTTCTGTTTGTACATGTATTTCTAATTACCCATGTGTCTTTAAATACATGTACATGTACCTTTAGCCTTAACCCTGCTTAGCATTGAACCCTCTTTGCAGTAAACTAGTGTTGATTCTCCATATTGTATCAATAGTGCTAACCAATCTCAGCAGAGCTATTAAGTACTGGTACTTGTATTCAATATACCTTACATGTAGCGGAATTTGTACTTATGTAAATAGCATGTTGCAGAAATTCTGCTGGTAGAAGGAAGTTGGATTTGCAACAAGCTGTGAAACTAGTAATGCAGGCGAACTTTCTTCTTCATTGTCACAATGGAAACGTTGTTTCCCAAGCAATTATCACTATCAACAGGAAATGAAGCCTCTCAGTTGGTGCCTGGAACTGGGAAAACTTATTACTGGTGTCAGCCCTGTGAAAATAAATATACCCAGGGGTTCAGTGTGTTTGGGCACCTCAGGGGTCAACATTAATGGTGGTCGGCTGGGGGGGGCCAAAAAAAATTATCAGGCCAATGTATTGTCCCAAAACGATGGCCCGGCAGGACAGTGGTTATTTTAGGAACATTGCCACATTTTCAAAACTTTCATCACATTTTACGAAGTCGTGTCTCAAATCACTGGTGCAGCACTTTGAGTTCACACAGCTAGGCTTGTGTGCCACACACACGCGTACATGTAGCAGTGCATCATTCTGTTCACTACACGGTCGTGCATACAGCTCGTACATGTGCAGCAGGCGCCTACCCTGGTATGTTGGCTGGTATCATTTTGTAACAATGCCAGTTGAACGTTATTTCCCACGGACACCAATGAAACCTTTACAGGTCATGTCGCGTCGAGTCCAATCATTAAGTACAAGCAATATAACCTCGAATTAAATTTGTGAACACAAAAAATACATATAGAGACAACAGATCAAGTTCTGGGAGTAAACTTGTAGAAATCTTCCAGTGACATCATTTTTTTTTTCATGTGAAGCTGTAGAGTTGCATGTGTGTATCCTGAATTGTACAGTGCTATTTTGACTGGGATGCATGGATTGGTTGCCACGTTACCATCACGCCTTCTTTGGCAGTGGTGCAGGGAACAGGAACCAGTAAAGCCTTGCACTTCTCCACTGGCCCTGCAGGCCACTAGAAGATTGAAGTTAATTTCAACCCCTGCACCTACATGTACCTGCATTAATTAATTACGGTCTATTTTAAAAACTAATCAAACAAGTCTAGAGACTAACAGTGTCTAATTTACAATACAAAAGTTTAGAGTATAATAAAATGAAGATTATATCCAAAGGAAACAAGGGGATATTATAAGAATAAGACGGACTGAAAAGTACCATACAATAGATAAAATATTGAAAGGTGAGCAATAACACCAAATAAGAAAACTGAAACACAAAAATTATAGACAAGTACCGGTAACAGCATTCAGTAGTTTAGCCATGAATGAAATCAGAGATTGCTTATAAGTCCTTGAACGGAGAATATTGAGCAGTTGGGATGGTCTAAGATTGCAACCAGAAATATTTTGACGATCGAGTTGGGGGGGAGAAACGAACGATTTCTTTCAGATTCTAATAAAGACCTCCCAAATTGCATAATTAGCAGCAAGTGTCTGGACATTGTAATTATTCAGAAGATTGACATACCGGTAGGGCAACAAATTAGGATTAGCTATTACTAGTACTGTACATGTAGGCAGGCTGCTCATTTCTGCACAGTTCAATCCTAAGGGACTGAGCCTTGGAAATACCAGGTGACCAGATAACTGCCCAGAACTCCATGGTAGGGAGAATATACATTTTATAAATGGAAACCAAATCCTGAACAGCAAGTCCATTTTTCTTTAGTCGACTCAAAATACAAAGCTGTCTAGAGGCATTCGTGATGATACACCACGCCTGCTGGTCCCATCTGAGGTCATTTTGAATTGTAACACCAAGGAGTTTCATCAATGGGACAATCTGAAATGGACTCCCATAAGTGGTTAACCTAGGAGGAGGGGGAGAACGACGAAGAATGGAAATCTGCATTGATTTACGCTTACTAGGATTGGGTTTCATATCGTTAAATAGACACCAATCACCAAGAGAGTCAATCTGCAATGTAGATTGCCCTCTCCTAGGAATGATCTCAAGAATTGTAAGGTCATCCACATATTTCCAACGGTTGTCTAATGTACATGTAGCATCATTACCAAGTGAAAGGAAAATAATAGGACCAAGCTTATTACCTTGTGGTACACCACAAGTAAGACAAACTTCACTTGATTAAGCTCCACCGTAACGAACAGTTTGGGATCGATTCAAAACTACAAATCGGGGGGGGGGGGTACATTTAAAATTGATCAATCAACACCAAGGTGAACAAGCTTATCGATAACAGCGTGGTTCACATGGTCGAAAGCCTTGCTAAAGTTGATTGAGCACAAATTCACAAACTTTCCAGATTTATCAAGATCCTTGTGAATAGTATCAAGCGTGTTAATTAAATAATGATCAATAGAACATCTTTTCAAACTGCCAAATTGTCACAGGTCAGTACGCTCCGGAATATCTTCAAGGACCCATTCAGCAAAAAACCTTCAAAAATTTGAGCAAAAATATGCGTAGTCGAAAATGGGCGAAGTTGATCAAGATTAATAACAGGAGTAACGTTTGGAATGACACAAACAGATACCTTCTTCAAGACGAAAGGAAACAAACCCAAACCAAGGCAGGTATTAAAAATATGAGTCAAGGAAAAAGAAATCTCATAAGCAAATTCCTTCAAAAGTTGAATTGGGCAGCCATCGGGATGAACCGACTTACAATTATTCAATTTCAACAATCATTTGTAAACTTGGTGGCGTAAAACTGCGGTGGTGGAGATGCAGGAGGCAAGTAAGGTGTAACCAAATTCAAATCAAGAAGAGGTAAAACTGAAGCAAATCCTGGCAAAGTGCAAATTAAGATCATTAGCAATAACCACAGGAGGTTTATCACAATTCAAACAGTTACCAACTTTCAACCAGATATACTGTTTGTAGATGACAAATCTGTCTGTGCCATTTGCCAGCTCTGTCTTCTTCAAAAGATTATTCTTGCA